GGCTAAAACAATTTACTCGGTGTGTGTGTTTGTTGAGTGTTGTTGGTTGACAAAATTGATTGCTTAGAATGTGTGTGTGTCGTGTCAAGTGTAAAGGGCGTGGCCAAAGACCTCCCTCTTGCTTGGTCCATGCGGACTGCCCAACTAACTCTTTCAGCAAGTGGAGGGTAGGGTGGATATGTGGTTGGGTTCAAATTAGTTGTTTTTTTAATTAGAAAATCAAACATGTAGCCTTTTTAAATCGAAAAATTTTAAAAAAATAAAATAAAATTGATTAAAAAAAAACAATTATTAAATAAGCAAATAATTGTTCTAGATTTTAATCTAATTTATCACTCTAATATTATATTCATGAAAGAGGTCACAAACTTCATTAATTAACATTAATTTAAAATTAAAATTTAATTTAATTTAATTAAATGTTATGATATTGTCCACTTTAAATATAAGCTCTTATGACTTTGCTTTGGGCTTCTCAAAAGGCCTCACACCAATGGAGAAAATATTCTCTGTTTATAAACTCATGATCATTCTCTAAATTAGCGGATGTGGGACTTTCATCATCCAATAAGTTAATTCACCGGATAGTGTTCATAAAAAGCAATAAAAAATTATACTAAAACTGGGTAATTATAGATTGTAATATTAAAAGAGAAAAAGTAATAATAATAATAAAAAGATGGGAATTAATGAAGAATTAATGGGAGTTGAAAGAACCCCAACTGCATTGGCGCCGAGTTGGTGTTTGCAATAACTAATTCCCACCCACCAACTTTCCCTCTCCTTCTTTATATTCTCTCTCTCCAAATTCCCAAATCCAACTCTCTCTCTCTCGCACTCACGATCTTTCACGCTCTTCTCATGGCTAACGAACAAGACCTTCTCTCCACCGAGATCGTCAATCGCGGCATCGAATCCTCCGGCCCCAATGCCGGCTCCCTCACCTTCTCCGTCAGAGTCCGCCGCCGACTACCGGACTTCCTACAATCCGTCAATCTCAAGTACGTCAAGTTAGGTTATCACTACTTGATCAACCACGCCATTTGTCTCGCTACTGTGCCACTGCTGGTTCTCGTCTTTAGCGCTGAAGTCGGAAGCCTTAGCCGCGAGGAACTATGGCGGAAGCTTTGGGAAGATGCTCGCTACGATCTCGCTTCTGTCCTTTCGTTCCTCGCCGTCTTCGTCTTCACTCTCTCTGTTTACTTCATGTCGCGCCCTAGATCTATCTATCTTATTGATTTTTCGTGCTTTCGGCCTTCCGATGACTTCAAGGTTAGTTCGATTTTGATTTTGATTTTTCTTCTCTATTTTTAATTTTGATTTTGATTGTTTGATCTGGATGAGGATTTGAACCTTCTTGAGGAGTGCTCATTATTCTTCGGTTTACATCTAATCGAGCGTTGATTAATAGGTGTTAGATTGATATTAGTTTGGTTTGGTTTGGTTTGAAGGTAAAATTATTAAGTCATTGTTTCTCGACTTACTTTTTTCCATAACAAAATGAATATCTTATGATCTTGTGTATTTCTTTGATCCTGCCAGAACTTTTTAGCTACTAGAAGTACGGAATGGTAGGTCTTTTATAGACAGGTGCATAACCATTCGATTTTATTTACACATTTTCGCATTTTTTAGGGTTTTTAGATAGAAAATATATATAGATAGCTTCTTTTGGAGAATGTTAATTGTCTTGTGTCGGTAACTAAAACTAGAGTCGTTTATTTTTGAAAAATATTTTGCCTCTTTAATTTTTTGCATGAAATTAGATTGAAAGTTCAGCCGATTAATTGAAATTACTTTATATCATTCATGTGACTTACTTTTTTTATTTGGAATTCCTATCGAGATTAAGATGAATTTTGGAAATATTACACTTTATGTGAGTTAGTTAACTGTTTTTTGGATTAAAATTATAATACTAAAAAAATACAATATGTGAACTTTTGAAAGAAGAATTTTATTATGTTATGGTAAAACATTTGGATAAATTTAAAAAGTGCCATAAATTAATTAAATAAATCTTAACTGCATGGTAGAAATTCAGCGAAAGGATGATAGAATACATTTTTATTTATTATCTTGTAAATTAAAAAATTGAAATATAAAGACTAAAATTATTGAGTATAAAATATAATTGTGTGTAATAATCAGTAGTTTTTTCATTGTTGTGTTAAAGATTTCGTCCGCGTTCTGCAGGTATCAAAGGAGGAATTCGTAGAACTAGCACGAAAATCGGGCAAGTTTGATGAAGGAAGCCTGGAGTTTCAAAAGAGGATTTTACATTCATCGGGAATAGGTGATGAAACCTACATTCCGAAATCGGTGATCGCCTCCGCCGGTAACTGTGCCACCATGAAAGAAGGCCGAACGGAGGCCTCCGCCGTCATGTTCGGCGCTCTCGACGAGCTTTTCGAGAAGACTCGGATTCGTCCAAAGGACGTTGGAGTTCTCGTCGTCAACTGCTCGATCTTCAATCCGACACCATCACTCTCCGCCATGATCATTAACCACTACAAGATGAGGGGAAATATTTTGAGTTACAATCTCGGCGGAATGGGATGTAGCGCTGGAGTTATTGCAATCGATTTGGCTCGCGATATGCTTCAGTCTAACCCCAGTAATTACGCCGTCGTCGTTAGTACGGAGGTTGTGGGATACAATTGGTACCAAGGTCGTGATAGATCTATGCTTATTCCAAACTGCTTCTTTCGCATGGGCTGCTCCGCCGTGCTCCTGTCTAACCGCCGCCGTGACTACTACCGCGCCAAGTACCGCCTCGAACACATCGTTCGAACCCACAAAGGTGCTGATGATCGCAGCTTCAGGTACTTACTTCTTTCGTTTTTGTTTTGTTTTTTTTTTTTCAGTTTTCTTTGCATTCACTAATGGAAAACATAAAAAGTGGGACCATTCATAATTGTTCTCTCTTTCAAAAACTGTCATAATAACAATATTAGATGTAGGCTGTACTGAAAGCAACATTAGAGGCAGGATTTAAACTTATAAGTAATATTTATAATTATCACTAAAGTTATATTTACTCTACAAGAAATAGATAAGATGGAAATACAGAATTTAATTTTTATATGCATGTATGTGCACATATATGTAATATTTAATTTCTATATTAAAAACATATTTTCTGAAGATATGCATAAAGCAGTTTTTGAAAAAATGTTTCAAATGCAATTAAAAAATATGAAGAACACGTGTTTTTCAGTATATATATAGTGGTAGTTGTATTGACTGCAGGTGGGCTTTTATTATGTTGTGTAGCTGTATATTTAGTGGCCCATTACGTCTTTCAACTGCCTACAAGAAATGTTGTCAATTCATGGGAATTTATATGTCGTAGATTTTAGGGTCCCAAACATGAAATATTTTTAATAATCTAGTATTATTTTTAAAAAAATTATACGAAGTGCACTCTAAATTAGAAAGTTATTTTAAAAAAAGATATATATTTTTCTTTAGTAGATACTATATGTGAATTTTTGAAATAAGATTTTTTTTAACTAACCTAGAAGGATAGCGATGTAGATACTATGCATTTTGTCAATGTCTTTTTTTCATAAAACTCTAATTTGTATAGAAGACATTTAAATTCACAAAGTGCATTTGATGTTAGACTATTATCTGTCACTCTCTCAACTAAATGTTTAAATATCCAACTTTTGAACTGTCATTAGTATTTCATGTTCCATAATTCGTTGTTTTATTTATTTATTTATTGTTTTTCCATACTAAAGTTAACAATAAGGTTGAGAGCAACCACGTGATATCTAAAACCAAGTCCTTGTCTTTCTTAAATAATTAAAGTTTAAAGATCATATTCATTTTTCATTTCTTAAAACTTTTAGGTTTATTTCTTAAATATTAATTTTAAACTTTAAACTTACAAAAGTGTATATATATATATATATTTAGGTTTACTTCATTATGATCATTTGTGAAATATAGTATCAAAGAAAATGTTCCATTTTAGGTTGTGAAAGATTTGATGTGTTGAGTGTTTTGGAAGTTGAATGGTGCCTGGTGGGTGGCAGGTGTGTATACCAGGAAGAAGACGAACAAGGATTCAAAGGCCTAAAAGTCAGCAAAGACCTAATGGAGATCGGAGGCGAAGCTCTCAAAGCCAACATCACAACCCTCGGACCCCTCGTTTTGCCCTTCTCCGAGCAGCTCCTCTTCTTCGCAACTCTAGTGTGGAGGCAGTTCTTCTCCTCTTCCTCTTCCTCCTCCGGCGGCGGAGTACTGAACGCAAAGAAACCATACATTCCAGATTACAAGCAAGCATTCGAGCACTTCTGTGTGCACGCAGCCAGCAAGGACGTACTGAATGAGTTACAGAGGAACCTTGAGCTCAGCGAGAGCAACATGGAGGCTTCTAGAATGACACTTCATCGATTCGGAAACACTTCCAGCAGCAGTATTTGGTACCAACTGGCTTATTTGGAGGCCAAAGACAGGGTCAAGTCCGGGGATCGTATTTGGCAGTTGGCATTTGGGTCTGGCTTCAAGTGCAACTCTTTGGTGTGGCGCTCTATGAGGCGCAACCGCAAGCCCACAAGGACCCCGTGGCTCGATTCCATTGACAGATATCCGGTTCAATTCTAGCCCCTTTGAAAATGCTTTTCAGTAAAGAGTTACATGGCATAATACTAGATTTCGGTGCTTTTAAGGAGAAGGATTCTTAATTTCTATTTGTAAGTTGTAAAATGTATGAATGGTAAGTTACTACCATCAATCACAAACTACTTGTCTTTAGTTAACAATATCATTCATTGTAGCTTTTTTTTCCAATTATTTATTGTAGCCTCTAGACTGTGCTTGTTTCTCTCTAATAATTGGTTGCATAATTATAGTGTTCCAACCATCTAATAATTTCTTACTCTGTTTGTTGACTTTATTGGCCATCTCTCTCTCTCTATATATATAAAGGTTGAATTGGATCAGAAAGCATGCGATGAATTACTAGAAGTTTATAGCAAAAATATTGATCAAAGTATGTAGGGGGAGGGAATCACGTTTGGGGAAAAAAGATGCTTCATTCGTTTTCTCATATTATTAAAGAGCATGGTATGAGATAAAAAACCCAACAATCATGCTAACCAATCTCCATCCACATCTTCGATCTCCCCAATGTCCATGCTGCAAAATGCAAATATGTATTGAAATGGGGGAAAAAAAAAAGAGTAAATTAATCCAAAATGCACACACCCAAAAAAGGGGGGAAGAAATAAAGGGCACACTAGAACCGTAAGAAATAAAAACGACCTCCTAAATGTATATATTTTCCATTGGGGTTTGAAATTTGAATTTGTTTTGGATTTAAGGGAAGCTAAATTCGTACCAAGATAGGTCAGGATCTTGAAGGTAATCCTCATTTGAGAACTGATAATTCGAACGCGGCTGCAAAAAATCATCATTGATACTCAACCAATCTGGAAATTCCATGGCTTCTTCACTCTGTCCAGTTGGAACATTCTCAAAAGTACAGTGAGTCTGACCATCAATCTCCAAAGGCTTCTCATCCACAGACCTGATCTCAGCCACCATAGCCTCCTCCTCTTCCTCCTCCTCCTCCACTGCCCCATGAATCTCCTTTTCACTCTCTCCAGTTGGGAAATTATTGGACCAAAACAAATCAGAAGCCATCAACCTCCCTTCTTCCTCTGATAATGAAATTGATTTGGGAACTTCCTGATGAGTAGTAGCAGCATAATCAAATGTGGGACAAATATATGAAGATGGGGGCAGGAATGAAAGTGAATAAAATGAATGGTTGTTGTTGTTGTTGCTGCAAACAACTGAACTAGTGTCCTCAAAATTGGGATTCAGACCTAAGGTTTGTATAGGGATATCTAAATGGAGACTCTGTGCAACAGGCGGAGGAGCAATAAAATCAGACCCATTTTCGAAATAAAATGAGCAATCAGGGTATATCCTGGGATTTCTCCTGGATTTCATTCTTCTTTCAGGTTCAAAACAAGGGGTGAATTGATGAGGGTACATCGGAAGTGAATGTTTAATCTGTTGGTCCTGTTTTTGTTGCTGTTCTTTAGCTTCTTTTGTTGATGCTCTGTGAAGCTTGAGTGCAGTTACAATCTCTCTTCTAGCTTCAGCCATATTCAGAGGCATTTGCTTGTAAAGCCTTCGGCTTTGGCGTCTCCTTCTAACCTGTTTCTTACGTTCTCCATGTGGCTGTGGCTGTGGCTGTGGGATTTTAGTAGCTTCAAAGTTGCAGAGTTGGTCTGTAGAGTTCATTGGGGGTTTGGTTTTAGATTTAGAGGTTGCTCTTTAGTGTTCATATATTGCTTTTTTTCTCTGATTAAAAAAGGGTGAGGAGATGAGGATTGAAGATCAGTTGGGGGAGAATGGTGGGTTTTAAGTTCTGTCTGCCACGATTACCCTACGCCGCGAGTTGTTCCAAAACAAGTCCTATAAGGCGGCCATACAAGTAGGGTACCCTATGCCTTCGACCTCTTTTCTACTTTTACTTATTCGGCTAACTACATATTTCATTGTTTCTTCTTTTTACCATGCTTTCATCTTCACTGGTTTTAGAAATTTTCAGGTTTGGAAATAATAAGGAGTCGTTTAATAACTTTATTGTTTACTATTCTCTGTTTTCTATTTCTCACTTTTCATTAATCCTTTTTTAGTTATCGAGGTCATTTTAGGTTTTTGGGTTTGAAGAGGAGCTGGGTAGCTAAGAAACTCAAGTCGGGGAGGAAGGCGTTTTACTATTAAGCAAGTAGTGGTTGTAGTCTCGTCTTTCTTATAACTTTGGGGATTTTTTTATGCTTCCAAAAAAGAGAGTATGGATCTTAATTCTGGTGGACCGACTCACAAACAAGAAATACAAATTTCTTGCAACAAGTCTATCCATATTCTTTAAATGTGCAAGACTAACTCAAATCTTTATCCATATTCTTTAAAAGTGCAAAACTCACTCAAATTCTAATTAATTTCTCATTTTCTATAAATGTTTCTAAGTTTTTAAATAATAAGATCTATTTCTAATTAAAAAAAATATATAAATAAAAATATTATTTCTATTTCTATTTCTAGTAGTGGAACATAATTTATTTTTTTTTTCTAATAAAAAGTAAAAAAGAAGAATTATTCTTCGGGACTCGTAGCACATAAGTCCATATTGTTCATCAATTATCCATGGGCTAGGTGACAGTCAAATCATTTGACTGCAACAAGTGAAACTTTCATAGAAAAATAATAATCAAACTTGCCTACGAAAGAAAGACCAATATGTTTTGACTCGCTAACATCAGCACATAAATTCATTAAATTCCAAGAGGAACCATCTTACCAATAGCTGTTCTTCGTCTTACCAATAGCTGTTCTTCGTTAAAACCATTATTCCGTGAGAGTAAGAATTGGTAGGATTTGAATGTAATTTTAAATATAAATTTAGACTCCACCGACTTAATTTATGATTTTTTTCAAAAAAAAAAAAAGGAAGAAGTTTAAAACTATTCTTCAATTTTGAGCGTGTGAGGCTTTTGAAAGTTCTTTAATGAATATTTTATTTATTTATGTATAAATAAAGCCCTAAACCGACTTCAACTGAAACCGTGCACAATTCAGAATAAAAATAGAACTACAAACGACTATGCTCATAATTTCAACACGAAATTTAGGGCCAAATAAGAAATCAACAGGTATAAGTAATGTTAGTCCTACATTTATCAGAAGAGTCAATCGAAATGAAAAGGCATAAAAAGAAAAAAAAGAGAGAATTAGGATGATGTAAGGAAAAGGAAACGTGCCTTGTATCTGAACCAGATTTTGCCGCAATGGACGACGTCATGGTCATAGGGCGATCAGAAGGCTCTTCAGATGGAGGTAAAGGCAAGAGGCAGAGAGAGAGAGAGAGAGAGCAGCCACATTTTCCAAAAATCCATGGGCGCCGCATCGGCACAGTCAGAGGTGCAGTGCAACTGGAAGAAATATCGAACTGAGAGAACCAGAACCACACAGGAATGGAAAAGAATTGCAGAATCATCAATCCATTAATAATTCATGAGAGAGACAAAAAGGAAACAAATGATTGGATCATCTCATACTCATCTCCCCCACCGCTCTCCCATATTCTTCACCGCCCTCTCGCTGTGTCGTGCCTCCTCTCGCCCTCGCTTCCATTCGCTCTATTTTTTTCTTTTTTTCCTTTTATATATAACAAATGAAAATAGTTACGCTCGCTTTGTTTCTAAGGCACGACTAACCCTCTACGTTATTTCTCCCCAATTACTACACAATTTTTTAATAACAAAAAATTTAAAGACAATTTATAATTTAACCCTAAATAAATATTACAGCAATGAAATATAAATAGAGGTTTTGGTCTATATATATATAGAGAGAGAAGGTTGATTATTTCTTCTTATTTTATTTAATTAAAAATTTTGGTTAGAGTTGCAATCCAAACCCAAGTCCAACCGCTAACAGATATCCACTTTAGTCCATTATACATATTATCTACTTTGACCAATTACGAATCACCATCGACCTCAGTTTTAAAACGGATCTATTAGAGAGAGGTTTACACACTCTTATAGTAATGTTTCGTTCCCTTTCCAACCGATGTGGAATCTCACACCTTGTGATGTCCCACATTGGTTGAGGAGAACAAACCACCATTTATAAGGGTGTAAAAATCTTTCCCTAGTAGACGTGTTTTAAACCCTTGAGGGAAAGCCCAAAAGGGAAAGGCTAAAGAGAACCATATCTACTCACAGTAGATCTAGGGCGTTACAAATGGTATCAAAGCTAGATACCGAACGATGTGCCAGCCTTCTCGCAGTTCCCCGAAGGGGAGTAGACACGAGGCGGTGTGCCAGTAAAAACGTTGAGCCCCAAAGGGGGGTAGATTTTGAGAGAGTCCCACATCGATTGGAGAAGGAAAGAGTGCCAGCGAGAACGTTGGGCCCCAAAGGGGGGTGAATTGTGATATCCCACATTGGTTGGAAAGAAGAACAAACCACCATTTATAAGGGTGTAAAAACTTCCCTGGTAGATGCGTTTTAAAGCTTCGAGGGGAAACCTGAAAGAAAAAGCTCAAAAAGGAAAGCCCAAAGAGGACAATATCTACCGGCAGTAGATCTGGGGCGTTACATACCTAAACCTCTCAAAACATTTATTTGAGTATATAGTTCAGTTAAATTAAAGTTTTAATAAAAAGTAACCCACCCAACACCCAACTATAGAGTAAAAAAATTAGTTACAATTGGATGATATAGATGAAATATTGAAAATTAAATAGAATTCAAACGTCTTACTCAGAGAATATGGGGCCTCCACTGGATTTGTAGCACTGTAATTGGAGCTCTCTAATTGCTCAGATCCATTTGTCTTAAACTAACAAAGATTAATTCATTCATAGGGACAAAATGTTTGCAGAAACATTCACATTCATATGAGGAATATAAATATGAGTTAGAATTAGGCTTCATCAAAACGTCGAAACCAGTTGGTTAAGGTTTTAGCAACCTCTTTTGTTTCATTCAAGGATACAGATTTAAGGGCCTGCGCAACCGCATCTGCAGGAGTGTACAACTTACCTACCTCCCACTTTGGCTCCTGATCACATTAAAACAACCACATCTTCAGGAATCCTTACAAATCTACAACAAAAAACTTCAACTAAATTCCTTTTTAAGTTGCTGAATCTTTCTTTTGGTTTTGTTTACTTCCCCCAATCTTTACAACGTTCTTTTGTTAGGAGAGGAGTCTCACATCGGATAATTAAGGGGTTGATCATAGGTTTATAAGTAAGGAATACATCTCCCATTGGTATGAGGCCTTTTGGGGAAACCAAAAGCAAAGCCATGAAAGCTAATGCTCAAAGTGGACAATAATAATACTATTATAGAGGGTTCGTGGTTCATAATATCTTTAATAACAGGTTACTAACTAAGTCCGGTTTTAAAACGCATTCGAGAAATCATTGCAAACAAATCTTAATTTGATTTACAAGTCCATCCGTAGATAAATAATATGAAATGAGGAGAAAGATTAATATATTATGACATAAACGAGATCCAAAGTATGATGCATCAATTTAAAAGGTTGAGTGGGATATATGAGGTTGATTAGCAAGGGCTTTACGGAAGTGTTCTTAGTGAAATATTTAGAGAAATTAAGTGCTTATTTAGCTGGCTTGTGGTTTTGAATAGCATAATCTGATTGCTGGCAGCTCTCAAAGATGTTACAATGCCAAAAACTTCAAAACAATAACCGAAGAATGAGTGATGAAAGTGTACCTGTATGCATGGTGTGAGGTGGTTACCAGTTAACTGGATCTTCTCGATCGTGCCATTAATAGATTCGACGCGTGGTTTCAGAGTTTGTTCGAGTAGATCTGTCTCATCGATCATGTCTGAACTGAACTTCACCTGAAACGAAAGAACGTATCAGACAAACGAGAAACATATATTTACTCAACAATCCAAATTTGAGAGCTACCATACCAGGAGCGTGTGTTGGACATTGTAAGAACACTTGAAGCAATCTCGATTCTCAGATGGAGTTGGCTTGAACTCTGATACCCCTTCTGTCATCTAATGAAATAGAGCATAGTTTATGCAATCAAATACAGCTCACTCAATTTCTAAACACCCATTTCATAATCATCTCATTTTCTAAAATCCGGCTTCTTTTTCATCATTAGGAAATGGAACTTTTAATGAATTGCACAATTACCTGGTTTACCACTGAGGGTAACTGATCAACAAATTTGGTCAGAGAGTTCAAGACTTCTAGATCTCTGTCAGGAACAATAGCTCCAGCAGCATCAAGCAACATCTTCCATGCATCCTCTGCATATGAACAAGGATAAACGAAGTTTTAGTAACATAAACATATCAACGATCAAGAATACATTTATATGCGTTGGTCACAGGCTGCAAGTAATAATTAAATTGAAATTAAAACAAGGGCAGATGTGAATCGGCATGAAGTAGTGAGAACAAGCTCCAGTCAGAATCTTCAATATATTTTTGTATTCAACCATAAACTACTGACGATTAATCCAATACTGCTTTATCAACATGAGCATATGCTCTAGTCAGGATCAATGGGAAGTTCATATAGCACTGCAAGGTATTAAATCCCTTTGAAGGCTCAAAACTAAACAATTAAACTTGATTGCTGAAACAGTAAGTTCGAATATAGCAACTTAAAAGAGTAATAGATGGTATCACAAAATAATTGGGGTGGGTTAGTCCTTTCAAATTATTACATGTCCTCCTTCAACTATCGGATGGAGATTTTCATATAATATGTAACAGCCCAAGCCCACTGCTAGCATATATTGTTCTCTTTGAGCTTTCCCTTCTGAACTTCCTTATAAAGAATGTTCTCTTTGAGCTCTCAAGGTTTTAAAAGATGTCTACTTGGGAGAGATTTCCACACCCTTATAAAGAATGTTTCGTTCTCCTCTCCAACCGAAATGAGATCTCACATAATACTTTGTACCAAAGAGGATCTTATCTAAGCTATGCAAGGCAAACAAAGTTTCTGATTGAGGATGCAAATTCCTAACTACAGTACAAGAGAAGCATACGAAAAAAGCATAAGCTGAGATGAGATGGTACCTGAGACACTCCTAGCTATTGAGTAAACTGGCGAAGCTTGTACAACTGGCATCATCTGACTGGTTAAAGGGCCCAACTGTAAAGACAAGCATTTCAATCAATTAGAACAAAGTATAGCTCATGACGTGCACAGTTCTCTTTGATGTCTACCTCAATGGCATGCCCAATACATGAAGGAAACCAAGAACAAACTAAATTAGCTCTGATTATGGATTATGACATGGTTTATAAGAAGTCAAGCATTTACCGTGCAACATGAAAGCACGGTGGTACATGCAAATGAATCTTGCTCAGAAATCTAGAAGTGAAAGATCGCTACATTCTACCTTTGGGTCAAGCAATAGCATATATGTACAAATACATGAAGTATCATTTAAAAAGTGAAATTCAATTACTTCAAGGAAATAGACATGAGAAAATAAAATTTAAAAAAAATCAAATATCAGTCCATACTCCCTATAACACACCTATACTTCCTCAAAATGCTACGCTTCGATTTCCAGACCATGCTCATCCAGAAAAATTGTAAGTATTATCAGGTTCCATAAATAGAAAGAAACTAGAAAAATCTGAAAAGTTTATAAAAGTCCTAAATCAGATCATTGCATCAGACGTTTACTACAAATTTAAGTAAAGCAGAGGTCCCCAGGACGAAGAGACAAGAAGATTATCAACAAAATTGTGCAAGCATTACTTTTATACACTGTTCCAGTCCTTGTTCATTCCTACTGCAGGGGAGAACAAATTTGGTTCTACCAGAAAGAAAAATGTATTTGGCTCACAGCTTAGATTTGTGTAATCTAGAGCTACATTTTGGTGGATTTGCCTAATGCACATTAGGGATTTGCTAATCCCACGTGCTACACGATGTCCAGTTATATAAACTCAAACTTATAAAGCTCACATTTTCAACTACATACCAACTATTGTAAACCATAATCCTACAAAACATAGGTTAACTCAATTACTCAAGTTTTTGTAATCCATCTTAGTGTACAATCTAAAAAAACACCTTTTAAGGTAAGTACAACTGGATAACCATTTGGATTTTTGTTTTTGAAATTTGTGCTTGTTTTCTCACCATTGCTTTAATTTTTATCAAGAAAATATTTGAACTTTTAGTTAGATTCCAAATACAAAAATAAGTTTTTAAAGTACTTTTTTTTTACTTTTCAAAACTTGACTTGAAATTTGAAATATTTATAAAAAGTAGATAATAAAACAAAGAAATTCATAGATAAAAACAATGTTCAGAAGCTTCATTTTGATGAATTTGGTATATTTTCCATAAAAAGGTCACTCTTAGAAGTGAAAATGAGTTATACTTTGGAGCATGCATGGGCCAGCAAAGAAACCATGAAATCCAACAAAAGAACAATGATGTATGCCAAATTTACCTGCTCAAAGTAAGGAACAGCCTCTGTTGCTGGCCTGTTGTTGAAGGAGATTATAGCATTAGCCTTCCACAATGAGAATATTATGTCACACAACCATAGAAATTGATAATCACAGATACCAAAGTGATAGTGATTAGCTTGTCAGTTGTGTCCCACTCCATTTCCACAAGCAAACTATATAACCAAAACCAGAAGAAAAGCAAGCCAAACCTTCGGTATCTTTTCAGCGAAGTAGCTCCCTGTGAGTACTTGAAGAAGAGCGCCATTGCTACCATTAAAGAATAAAAACGAAATTACCTCAGCGTTTCTATCTATGGCAATGAGGACGAATTGTCACGAGTTGACTCACCTATGTCCCACAGAAAATAGAGGAAGATTAACGAGTTGAGCAGATGAAATATCTTCATCGGGCAATCCGGAAGCTAAAATGGTGTCCAAACAAGCATGAAATCTCTCAAAAACTTGTCTCGTAGCATCAGCATGATCGAAAGTCACATTGTAAGGGACTGAGATTATCAGAAACCCTTCCTTTGCCAAAAGCTCTATTAAGTAGCTGCACCAAAATGCAAGTCGGAACAGTAAACAACAGAAAAGGGCAAAAGAAGAAGAAGAAGAAGTAAAATAAGCAAAACGATGGAGGAATGGAAGGGAAAAAACCTGTATGTAACTTCAGGAATAGCTCCGATGAAAGCGCCGCCGAGGAACTTGATGATAGCGCGAGGTAGCTTACCTTTTGGCGGCGGTACCACCAAACAAGATTCCAATCGCTTGTAAATCTTGTTGATATTTGAATTTCTACTGCTTCCTCTGCCGACATATCCATTCGAGATCATCGTCTTCATAGAAACAAGTGAAGTTCCCGATACCAGTGTTGCAGTTTGACCTGAAAATTCAGTGGAAAGGGGAAAACAATCTTCAAATCCTCTCTTGAGAGTATATTTGCGTCTGTTATATTTGTTGGATAGGAGAATCCGTCGATATCGGCGGCCAAAGACGGCAGAAGAGGACGACAAAATGGTGGCGCCGGCGGCGGAGGCGACGGATGTTTCCATATGTTGCGTGGGAATGCGATTCCGACGCTAATGGAAGTACAGACCAAAGTTCTGTGGCGATTACAATGCTTAAAAGAACGAAGCCATGTTTATGCTAATGATTCGGCCACGACGCCCGATTCATTTCCTTAAAATTAAAGCGGGATAGAAAATTTCCTGAATTGAACCGCACAATTTTATTTGGCCCCAAAGGAAGTTGGATATTTTATTATTTTTAATTTAAAATTATTGTAGTTTTAAATATTTGAATAAAAATATTTACTTGAAAGGGATATAAATCTTTTTCCGAGTTTAACTCCAATTTTAATGGTGGGTGAGCAGTGTGTTTACTCACTAAATTTTTAATATAAAAACTATATATTTAATCAAAATTATCCATTTAAAGATAAATTACTTTTCAAAGTTTTAAAATTAATTCATTTGGAAGGTTATTTCTAAGGTAAATTATGATATTAATTTTACCCAAAGATAAATTACTTTTCAAAGTTTTAAAATTAATTCATTTGGAAGGTTATTTCTAAGGTAAATTATGATATTAATTTTACCCATAAGAGTTTCTTTACAGTGTCTTGCCAATTAAGGCATGCTAAGAATAATAATATAGACCTCTGCTAAAATATTTTAAATACAACGATAGAGATATTATTATTATTAATAAACTTCGGATGCTCTTTGCTTCCAACAAAAATGACTTGTCCCACGAAACAATCATTGATCCCTCATTTTAAAAAGCGCACTCATTCGTTCGATAGAGTTTAATGACATATCACATAGCAAGTCAATCAAACTCACCCATATGTCTCACGTAAAGCACAACCTCCAATAACACTTACCCTTGTACGTCTATATACCTTTTTTTATTAGATATTGTTCTCATAAACTCAGATTTTAATTGTAACAGTCCACCACCAATAGATATTGTCCACTTTGATCTATTACGTATTGCCGTTAACCTCACGATTTTAAAACGCATCTACTAAGGAGAGGTTTCCACACCCTTATAAGGTTCGTTGTCCTCTCCAAACAATATGAGATCTCACAATTCACCTCACTTGGAGCCCAGCGTTCTCGCTGGCACACTACCCCAGTGTCTGGCTCTGATACGGGTCTGTTTTGGTCCGTTACATATTGTCATCAACCTCACAACATATTGTCATCAACCTCACATTTTTAAAATGCATCTACTAAGGAGAGGTTTCCACACCTTCATAAGAAATGTTTCGTCCTCCTCCCCAATCAATGTGGGATCTCACATTAATACTCTGATGTATCAAAGGCTTGCAGTAGTTTGTATCGTAGTTTGTATCGGTACAATAGTAAACATAGCCCCATATCATCTGATCAACGGAACCATATAAGTGTAACATTCTAGTGACAGATGCAGAGATGAGAAGCTATTATATGTGGTTTCAACTATAGAAGACTAGCTAAAAATTGAAGCTCCAATATCGTCTCAAAGAAATCACATATGAAATAGCCTTATTAGACGTTACTTAAGTAATTGACTACCTGATAGTAAGAAAATGCAATGGCATTCAAATATACATATATTCGCCGCCACGAACAGCATTTGCAGCTCCTTTTCTCTCTTCTTCTGCCTCCTTCTCTCGCTCCTTCCAGCTCTCATATTTATGGTCATCGGTGGGCAATTCGTGTCGACAGATCGGGCAAGAGTTATGCTCATCCTATAATCAATTAGCACATGGTGAGCTTAAACTAAGAAAGAATGGGCTTTAAGCATATAGAGAGATCAATCAAGTTAGCGTATTACCAGCCATGGCTTCAAACAAGGTGGGTGGAATGTGTGCTTGCAAGGCAATTCCTGCATCTTGTCATCAACAGCCAAGTTTTCCCTGCAAATGGCACATTGTACATCTCTTCCTAGCTTGGCAAGAACTTCCTCTGTTATAGTAATTACAGGAAGTTTCTCAACGACTTCTTTACTTGCAGGAGGAACTTTCGGAGGTCCGCTAACCGTTTCCAAATCCATGAACTAAATAGACAGAATAAATACGTTTCCAAATCCATGAACTAAATAGACAGAATAAATATGTTACAATGCAGGTACTCAAATGGTTTAAGCATTTGAAACAACAGCATTACCAACGAACACCACCCAGAATCCCACAAGCCAAGACACAACAAATCGAACAATCCGATCTATATGGATATCCATAAAGTGTGCAACATCTTATAGAAATGGTACCAACAATTAGGGGTGTACATTCGACCTGACAACCCAAACCCGAACTTTTGAGTTGGTCCAAAAAAATCTCTCAACCCAACCCAACCCGAACCGTACACCCCTAACAACAATCAACTCATACACATTTAAACCACGATACTGATCCAATGCACATCCTTCATTTTCTCTCAATTACAAAAACAATAAACTTGCTATGAGTTCAATATGATAAAGTAGCATAATCACCATCGAATCCAGAAGTCACCATTGAATCTTTTCTTTACATTTTAAACTCTCCCTTCTTCACATATACGAGTGTGGATATTAATTTGATTTATAAAACCCAACACATAAATTATTCCTATCAATTGGGGAAGAAAAGGCATTGTTGAGGTTTAAGTCAATATTTCATACTATAATAGCCTGTTCAATCAATGCTAAACAAAAAGAAAGAACCTTAAGCTTCTTAGCGTTTATATATATTCTAAACTAGTCATTATCGAAAAAGCTTGATGAAAGCTTCTTTATGTATGTAGTTCTTGGACTACCTTTTTTGTTAGGCTTGTTTTTTAGAATGGTTTCGTTTTCCCTTCATTTTACTCAATGAAAGGTCAGTTGCTTACTTGAAAAAAGGCCCTAAGGAAAGAAATCATGAGAGACTTAAAATAAACATTACCCCATCTACAGCGTTCTCTAGATTTTCAATAACCGTTTGAAGGAAGTCAGTAGTATTCTCGGAATTGTTGTTGTTGTCAACCGGAGCTTGAGAAGATTCAGCGTTAAATAGCGTAGCTGCAGCGGCTGTCAAGAGGTTCGATTGCACCAGCCATTGGGGCTGGGGTGGCTCCGGATCAACAGTGAGATGGCCCTCAAAAAGATAGCCTGAATCATCATAAGAACATTTCAATTCTTACATTTGAACAAATAGCCAACCAATTTAACAAAAAAAGTGTGTCTAAACCAGTACCTCCATTTGAAGTACGTTGTGACGGTGAAGATGGATTGTCAATTTGGTGCAGAATTTCCTTGGCATGAGCTATGTTAGCCTGTAATTGTTGTTTCTCAGAAGGATCAGAGACCAGACTCAAAGAAACCTCAAAAAGCTTGAGACCAGAACACCAAAACCCTGGGGCCGTATATCTTGTCTTCAATACTGTAGCAACTCGGCAAATTACGGAATAGAACTGTCATCAAACATTAACATATCAACAATTCAACTCCACAGACAAAATTAAGAATCAAACGAAATGATAAATCACCGTACTAGTAGAAACCAACAAGATTTCACGAAAATTACAAATTCCACAAGAACAATAACAATACGAGACAATTTCACACGAAATGGAACATTCGAATGAACGAGAGATCAAGAACTATTGAAAGACAACAAAATTGAATAAAAAGAGGGGAAAGATGAAGGACCGATTTGCGTAGAGAAGGAGAAGCAGTAGGATAGCAATCTTGAAGAAGAGATATAGTGGTGGAAACTGCTTCCTCGAATCTCTGTTTCTTCCTCAAATCTTTTTGCAATTCCTCCAATCTTGATCTCAATGAATCCTCCGATTCCATTTCTTCTTCCTCGTCTGATAACAAATTTTCTCCTCTTAGCGAATTTATAACTCGAAATCTCTATGAATCGAATCGGAGAATTTCTTGACGAAGGGGCAATCAAAAGCACGAATCCGACCTGGCCGACGCTACAATGTTGACGATCTGCAACCGCCAGATCCCACACGTGGATGTATCCTTAGCGATGAATATATTCAATTATCCTTTGTTATGATATTATTAGAATTTAGGGTTTCAATTTTCTTTCTTTCTTTTTTAATATATATATTACTTTATGAGCTCGAGATCATTTCAAATTTTAAGATTTATCAAATTTAATATGAACTTAAATATGTAAACCAAGTTTTACCCTAAATTTGCTATATTTTTGTAATATATGCAACCAATTATTAACTTCTTTTTATTTTTTTACAAAATTTAAATTTAATAGTTTCAAAATTGACATATTTTGGCCCGAGGTTTCAAAAATAGTTCTAAATAGTTTTCGGAGTATGTTGTTAGTTGGCTAACAAAAAATATGATATTATCATGATTCCGTGATAAAATATATTAAAATTAATTTTGATATCACGAGAATTTAGGTTACTTTATGTGCATTGACAAGACAAAACTGAGGAAAAGCCTGAAAGGAAAAGTCTAAAGAGGACAATATACACTAGTGGGCTAGGGTTGTTACACACAACTTTGATAGCATATAACCCGAATAGGAAAAATTGACATTTTAGCCATGGTAGGTGTAGACGTGGTCGTACACACCCGTATCGACACAACATTAATAGTAAAGACTTAGCTATACATGAAAGCAAGTAAAAGGAGTTTTGAACGGACATGCAACCATAGACAATACGTCTTGAACAAGCATAACTAAGACATCGATACGCGGCCATAGGCAGCACGCCTTGGACAAGCATGACCGTGACAAACGTCACACTAGCTCCCAACTTCTCGGATGTTATTTACCCATTTCCTTGTCAGTTTATACGAACTAAATTTAGGGAAGAATGGTTGTTGAGAGGTTGTTGACAAAGATGACAATACAGAGATTTCCTGTTCATGCTGCACTCTTTTCAAAGTAAAGGTACAACCTTATGCTGCAATTCAGCAATTGTATTGAATCAAAGTTCACAACTGAGTAACTCAAAAGCAGATTCTCAGCAAAGTTGAGGTAACTTCTCAACCGAACAGGTAATTTTTCACAACAAAAAAGTAGAGCATTATTTACCTTCTCTGTAATAACAGCCTTCATCTACTGAAAAATCAAAAGAAAGTTACAGAATTCAACGGTAAAAATGACATACTATTAGGATATTAACCAGCAGGTTATTAAAAAAGAATCTACAGAAGCCTCTCTCTCTCTCTCTCTCTCTCTCTTTCTATTCTCACCTTCTTGAATTCCATCAACAAAGAATTCAGAAACAAATAGGAAAGCTTACAGAACAATTTGTTTTTTTTTTTCGAAAAAATTAATAATAACGAGTTGGAGTCAATGATGTTATCTTCTTCTCGTGTCATACACAAGCCTCGATCCTGGGCTCGAACGAAAAGGCAGACATGAACTCCACAGCTTCACCGTTCATGTTGCATTTGGGCAATTCGGTCCACTGATTCTTGACGAGATCGCATAGTAGATACGTATAAAGTTCGTTAGAGTTCATGCATATGAGTATCTGATCGCCAGCTCCAACGCAGTTAATATCGATTTTCTTGCCATACCATTCGTGCGACATTGCAGGAGGCAATGCTGCAATTTGATGCCAAGTTCGAGCATCCTCGTCGTATCTCCAAACTCTAAGGCTTGCAGTTTCAAGAAACTCAGATAACATGACAACTAGCATCTCACCTTGACATTCGACTACGTCGATGGAGTACTCCGAAAAGACAGGCAAGAGCCTGGGGTACTCCACGAAGCATCGCTTGTTGAGATTACAAGCCATGATAGTCCCGGACGAGCTAATGAAGTAGATGAGATCCTCGCCATTCTTGTTCACAATGACCGACGAGTACTGCTTCGATGGGCTTCTCTGCATGTTTGTAGATACTACATTTCCTGTCCTACTGAGGAAGTATACAACAGTATCATCATTGAAGTTGAATTCGATAGAATCGTCAACTTTTCTACTCAAGGTAACATTGTCGTCCCAACAACCAGTGGTCGAATGGTAGACTTTGAACCGGAGCTTTGGAAGTTGGCCATGGACCAGTATAAGCTTGTAAGAGCCCTTGCAACCGTCACGGTCCGAGCTCATGACGATGGCATGAAGATATTGATTTTTCTGGTCAAGTTCCACAGGAGGAAGTTCACTACATGAGCCTGTTAAAGGATTCGACACAATAAAGTTGCCCGACGAATTGCGAAAACAGATCAAACCACCAGAGGCTGCAACCGGCATCAAGTTATGATGACGACTCTGAAGGACGTGTGGATAATTAAGTTTCTTCCAACTTTTCTCAGTCGAGTCGAAAACAATCGAGCGGTCGAGATGTGGATCGACCATGAAAAACCAGGGATCACGTGCAGAAACGTCGGAGCACGCATACTTGAAACTCGAAGAAGCTGCAACCGATTTCCATCTTTTGCACACTGAAGAAAGGCGAAAGAATGCCGAGGTCGGTAGCCTCGACAGCACCCGTTCGAGAATGTCTTGATTGAGATCATCCAAAGAGAAGTTGCTCAACAGGTTTCCTCCATCATCTCTCTTTCTCTTCCGAGTCATCCCCACCCCCAAATCACCATAAGCATCACCAAGCTCCATTAGCCGAATTATCTAAGGAATCACTGCAATACCAAACAAACACAAATCTCAGTTTCAATCAATCTCAATAGCACCAAAATAAGGATCTCAAATCAAATCCGTGAGAAGAAGTAAACCCTTATCAATAGATCGAACCAAATCTCGAAAGAAACTCATGAACAAAACAACACAAAACTCGAAACAAAATCACTCCACAAATTAAAGCACCAGAATCCAGAAATACAACAGCAGAAATCTGATTAAATCCACGAATCAAAGAAACCAAGTCAAAATCCCGCCGCCGAGCGGATCTCAAACCCTAAGACCCGATAATCAAACACTCCCAAAAGAATCCACATAACCAAAAATTCACACTCGCGTAAAAACAAAGCAAATCGAAACAGAATCAGAAGAAATCAACAGAGGGAGAAAGAACACGAAATCAAAAGAAGAGAAATCAGATAATACACCTGGCCAAGACGCGGGCGAAGCGATGAGGCGGAAGTTGAGAGGGACTGAGTGAAGTGGAGTGTGTAAGGGGCTTATAAATGGGATTTGGAGGGCTGAAAATGGTGAAAGTAAAAGGGAGGAAGCATACGAGGGGAGGAGAAAAATGGGAAAAGGGGAAAGGAAAAGAGAAAGGGAGGTATGGAGGAAGAAGAGAGGGAAGGTTCGAGGGTAGAGGCTTTTGTAGGCGTTGACACTTTGTTACAGAGAGGAGGAAGAGGGGCGGAGGCGAATACACGAGCGGATACAAGAAGGAACCAAATAAACAATATAAAGAAATGTCAAAAGAATACACAACGGAATACGATTCTTAATTACTTTGTAAATACAAAAAAATAAATAAATAAAGTAAAAGGGACGACAGAAGCTGAGTTGACTCTTGCTCATCGGTGTTCTTCGCTTTGGATTCGTTTCCTATGTTTTTTTTTTTTTTTTTTTTTTTTTTTTTTTTTTTTTTTTTTTTTTTTTT